GCCAGGGTGGCCGGCCTTGCACAAGCGAGGTCCCCTCCAACTGGATAGAATATAAGAAGCCACTGGCCCACTCAGATCCCTCCAGGCAGCCCCGTCATAGGAGCCCAAAAAGAGTTCCTTGCCCCCCTCAGCCCCACCTGTGACCCCATCCCTACTGCCCACTTACAGGCCCGCAGGCTGCCATGGGCAAGAAATAACAGCCTGAGAAGGCCAAGCACAGGGAAGCTTGCACAGCTCCAGGCAGGCGCGGCCCTTTCCAGGATTTGGTCCCCACCACCCATCAGGGGACCTGACCAAGGAGAAGCTCGGAATCCCAGGTCCCCTTCCTCACCAAGTCCCAATAACTAAATCTCTCAGATCTATCCATCCCCACTGGGATCCAGAGCCTCTCCTCCCCCACCCACCCAGGGAAGTGGAGGGACAGACTCTCAGCCAAGTAGGGGGCCCAGAGGTCCTAAGGAGAGACCGGCTCTGCTCCTTTTGTTTGCTCACAGGAGGGGGACACACGCCCTGTGTGCACAGAGGTTTCAACTGACAACTGATAGACCCCATAAGGCTTTCGGCAAAGGCCTCCTGCCCTGCCCTCCATGCGTGAAGATAATGGTGAGGTGTGTGCTCCGGCACATCTCAGATCTTGGCTCCAAAGGCCCTCCTGCCTTCTGTTTTCTTCCTCCAGCTCAGCTTGCCCACAGGTTCCCAGAGACTCTTGGCAGCTCGCTCCCAGGAGAATGAAGTTGTGCGCTGCGTGGGAGGCAGTTAGACAGCGAGAGCGTTGCAGCCTCGTTAATGAGAGACAATAGCTCTTCTTGGAGCCATTAAGCCGCAGCTTCAGAGATGGGGAACCCCAATTAGAAAGGAGTGAGAGAAGAGGAAGGCCTGAGAGACGCCTGTAGGACAGATCCGTATCTTTGGTGGCTCTGTGGGACCCATGGGTGGAGATCTAGGTGGTTGGGTTTAGCATCTCCTTTCCTCCTTATGGTAACACATCCCAATGACTGCGTAGAGCCAGCCCACGGTAGTGACCCTTCAAAATACACGCTTTGAAGGAGGAGGAAAAATTGTTGGGGAGAAGCATTTTTCCTTAAGTCTGTAGCTCAGATCTTATAATCCAAGAGTAAGAAAGGAAATGATATTTATTTAATTTGAGGACGACCTCTGTAAGTTTGGCTGCATTATATATGTGTGTGAATATGGAGATTGGTATACAGCTGATGGCTCTCTTTTGTTCTGGCTTTCAACTGAATCACATCATGTTTACAGCTAGATAATAATCCTGGATTTTCCATGGCTCAGTCTCTCGGAGTGTTAGATCTTGAATTCATTAGCAGTCATCTCCCTTTAAATGTCAGATAACGTTTTAAATGCCAAGAACTTACGCAACACCTTCTGTGCAATTCAAATCAGCTTTACCCCATTAGCTCATTAATCTTTATTGTTTCATTTACTGAAGGGAAAGGCTTCCAGGAGTTTTTAGCAGGACATAGAAATATTAAAGTATGTACAGGTGAAGGAAGGGGCTTTGACTTTCTGCTCAACATTTCACCCGTCCATCCGTGTTGTGATCATCCCCACAACAGCATGCACATAAACGAAACAAAAAAGCTCCAGGCATCTCTGGTTTCTTCTACTTCCCCCACCTTCACCCTCTAACTTTGTGTTTTCTTCTCCCTTCTACACCTTCAGAGGCCTTGACTTCTGTTCACTACTTATTCTGCAGTCTTTGCTCTCAAAATAGCCCAAGAGCTGCAAGTGTCCATTCTGATGGCTCGGAAAACAGAGGGGTGCCTCACATGGTCAGGGATGGGGCCCAGGAGGCTGGGGCAGAACAGGCAGACATCAGGAATTCTACTTTCCTTTTCAAAGAATCCCTGCTTGGTCTTACCTCTGAATAATCAGCTACACTGACTGCTAAAGATAGATCCTTCCAGGAATAGCTCCTAATTGTCACCTAGCTCTCTGCTCAAATGTCACCTCCTCAGAGAGGTCTTCCCTGATCACCCAAAGGCAAGTCCCACCCCTTCCCCATCAACCTCCATCCTGTCATCATTTCATTGTCTTCTTAGATTTATCACTCCCTAAAATCCTGCTTATTTATGTGTTTGTTTGTCTGACACATACACTATCACTCAGTAAATATCAATTTAATGAATCAGTGAAAAACCACCCCTCAGTGGTTGAGCGTCGACCTATGAACCAGGAGGTCACAGTTCAATTCCCGGTCAGGGCATGTGACCATGTTGTGGGCTCGATCTCCAGTGTGGGGTGTGCAGGAGGCAGCAGATCAATGATTTCCTCTCATCATTGATGTTTCTATCTCTCTGTCTCCTCTCCCTTCCTCTCCGAAATCAATAAAAATATAGTTTAAAAAAATAAACAGCCCCAAAGCATAGCTTTCTTTCCTGGTTTCAATTTTCTTTTTCTCCTCTTCTCACTACCTCTCAGAATCCTCTTTATATATTTCATCTTTCCTTTCCTCCCATCTCCCAAGCCCCCTTTCACTATCATTTATTTGTTAGAACTCTTGAACATAATAAGCAAACAGTACTTCACATTCCAGTGACGACAGAGCCTTCATTGAAAACATTCCATTAAGCTAGAATTGATGGCCCCTAGATGTTAGAGAGATGAGCCATATAGTCAAGAGAATTGTTGTATCAAAAGATTTATAGGCCAAGTGCTTTAAAGGGACTTTCTCAAAGCCTCCCAACTCCCCACTCTCCAATCTGAACCCCACATGAGGAGTTACAGTAATTCCAGCCGTTGGGACTGGTCTTGGCTATGCTGTTTGTCCTCCAGCCCAACACAAAATTGTCTCTTGGAGATCATGGAGAAACTTCCCTTAAATCAGTATTGTCAGATTTCTACTGTTCCACCCAGTGATTCATGAATGATTTTGGAAGCTAGAAAGCTTGAAATGCTTTGCTGAGTCTAGCTTGGACAAAAGGCGTTCATTTGATCTAGAAACAGGGAAGGGCTGTCTCACCCGGAGAAGCTAATCAGCTATGGCTGAGATAACCAAAAAAAAAAAAAAAAAAAAAAAATTGGCTATGTGTTTATCTTTAACTCTAGCCATATTTCAAAACAAAGGAAAAGGGTGTGGATGTTCATTGGAATGATGGCTGTTTGTGGGACCCACTAACCGTTAATTCATCATTAATACTTAAATGTAATATAAATGCTATGGGAGGGGATGTTTCTGACAGCCCAGAGAAACAGACTTCCGAGAGTGAGTCTCCTAGAAAATATGGAAATGATCAAGTCCACGCCCAGGGTGATCTCATGGCACACTAATGTATGCAACCCCAGCAAGTCAGCCCTCGGGGATGAGGGGCCAGAGCCACACAGGGGACAGGCCTCTGGAGGTTGGCACATGCTGCCTGTAAAGGTGTCTTCATTGGCCCTTTGCATTTGAACCGAGTTGGGCCATAACATGTAGTTTGTCCCCAATGCGATAGTTAATCTTTTGTTCAGCAAATATGTATCAAGTGGCCCTGGCTGTTGCTCAGTGGTTAGAGCGTCCGCCTGTGAAATGCAGGGTCTCGGGTTCGATTCTAGTCAAGGGCACGTGCCTCGGTTGCAGCCTCAGTTCCCAGCCCTGGTCGGGGCGTCATTGTGGACACTGGCGGGAGTGCCCGGTGCCCTGGGATGTGATGAGCAGCACAGAGGAGCCAGGCCTGAAGGATGAGAAGGGCCTGGAAGGGAGGAGTATGTTCCCAGGAGAAGGCAGGGCCTGCTTGATGGGCTTGCCCAGGACCTGAAAGGTCAGCATTGAGAGCAGCCCTTTGAACCTGCTGTTTCCGCCGCGAGGTAAGCACTTCTGTCAGAGAGCCCTGCAGACCCTTCCTTCGCCTGCTGCGAGCTCAAACCCTGCTTTCTTGGAGGACCTTCCCTGGCAACCCTGCTTAAAACTGCAGCCTCCATGCCATTCCCAGACACTCCCTGCTCCCCTCTTTGCTGTATTTTTCACTACATCACGAATCACCTTCAGAAGTAACTTACGGTCTACTTGCTTATTCCCTCCCTCGCGGTGGAATGCATGTGCAGTTTCATAGGGTGGCGCCTCTGTCTGCTTCTTGCGCTGCCGTATCTCTCTGCCCGGCATAGAAAAGTCGCTCCATAAATATCTGTTGAGTGACTAAATGAGGCAGGAGAGCTTGTCCAGGGCCAGGCAGAAAGGGTCTTGTGAACCGTTTTAGCCGGTTGGTCTTCATCCTGAGGGCAAAGGCCGTTGGAGGTCTTAAGCCAAGGAGGGACACTGGCTCGCATCTCAGAACCATCACCCGTGCTGCTGGAAAGGCGTGGGCTGGAAAGCAACTTCAGATCCAGCGGTGTCGTGCATTGGAACAGGGCACCATCTGCATGTTGTGGTGACAGGAGAAGGCAAGGCCCCAAGACTCCGGAGCCCCTGGGGCCTCCCCGACTCCTCTGTTCGCTCATTCTTCCTTCCCTCTCTGCGCGATTTGCTCAAGTGACTCTTCCTCACGCGGCAAACGTGTTTCACATTTGGAGATAAACTGGAACCTTGCTATAACTCTATTTGGTGCAAGGCAGGTTTAATAACCATCCACGGAAGCTACAGAAGTATCAAAACCACCTCGATAAGAAAGGAGTCTTGGGAAGATGGGGATTTCAACTGTGTGGCTTTGGGCAAGTTACTTCACCCCCTGGAGCCTCCGGTTCCTCGTCTGTGAAATGGGAATGAGAGTATCTGCCTCACAGGGTAGTTGTGAGGATGAAGTAAAGCGATTACAACCCTGGAACATAGTAATGTGCCTTTCTCCACTTCCCCATCACACCAGCTCCGGGTATGAATTAATAACCAGTCTTGGGTTATTCTGTGTACATAGGGTCCCCTGTGTCTTCCCTGGTAAAAATAGGTGTTACTATTAGTGTTCCAGCGATGAAAAGTCACTTTCTATAAATATTTGGGGATTTAGACTCACTCTGGTCGCACTGTATATCATTCCTATGAAAGGTGGGCTTTCTGCTTCTCTTCACAGGCAGCCCTGCGGACCTTCGAGGCAGCAGCTCAGGAGGCAGGAGAGCCTCAAAGTTGTATAAATAAAGGGCTGATATGTTCAAACAGAAAAGAATTTTGCACGCGCAAGCTGCTCATCGACATGACACCGTTCCTGAAGGTGATCTCCCACTGAGAGGACGAGGGGGTTTATAGACACACACGCAGGCGTTCCGGTTAATACACTTCTGCATGGTACAAAACAGCTTCAGAAGTCCCTCGGAGTTCCTGCTTTATCAGAAGGGACAGAAAATAGGCAGTTTGTAGCAGATGAAGAAAGAACAAATTAGGACAGTAATCGCAGCCAGCCGCCAGGGACAAATCAGTTGGGCATCTGGTTGGGATGGTGAGGGACAGGGAACAGAGAGGAGAAAGGATAACCTTGAACTTGAACCACCCCATAATAAAGCAGGCAGATATAATTCACTTTATCTTAATAGCAGTTCAAATAATTGTTACCATTTTACCACTGTAACTTGGTCGAGCTGATATTCCTACTGTGGAGAAGACGAGTTCTTGAGTTAGCTATTTAGAAATCAACTGCAAATTCTATTCCAGATGTCTCATCTTGTTTCCTATTCTCCCGAGCTCAGCTTCACACCTAGTTTAGGGTACTGAGTGCCTGTTGTAGAGATGTCATTTGTCCATCTTTGCAGTACTCCTTTCTGCCCAATTTAACACCGCACCTGCACGTGGGAGGTAGCCATAAATGCCCCATAAATTGACCCCCCTTTTCATCCCATAGCCCTATGGTTTAGGGTCTTCTTCCTACCCATTCTTGCCCACCTCGGAGCTGAATGAACTAGAAATAAATGACCATGGAGTAAAAGAAAGTCGTCAGGAACAAAGCAAGGGTTGGGATGGAAGGGACTCGGATCCTTCATGCTACCCTCTCTAGAGAGGACTAAATCCCAGCCCTTGGATCAGAAGTGACTAGGAGAGACAGAACCCCAATACGCGCTTTGTGGCTTTTAGCCAGTGCTGTAGACCGGCAGAGACTTTGCAGCCCATGAGGGTCACCTTCCTAACCTCCGCTAAGCCAGAGTTCTCCTGTTACATCCTCTCTGGTCCACTCCCTTCTCAGCTCTGCAAGGTGGGGCTTTGAGTCAGAGTCCTGTATTTGCCCCAAATCTCTTCCCTGCATGGCTGGGCTCTGCGTTCCTGTTTCCTCTTAGATAGGCTCTTCCCTGTGGTGGCAAGATGGGCACTGGCTTCTCTTTTCTAGATCATTCTAGAAATGATTCTCATTGACCCGACTTGGGTCACACGTCCATGCTCAAATGAATCGACATGGCCAGGGGAGTGGAATACATTGATTGGCCCAGCCTGGAACCACAGGGACCAGGGGGAGGGAGGGGGAGGGGAGAAGTATCTCAAAAAGGAAAACGGGATCTTTAAAAGCTGAAGAAGAGAGAATGATTCCGGGCAACAAAAGATATTTGCTACAAGCACTCAAAATAATTGCCTTGATTTCGCATTTATTATATTAGTTTGGAGGGCGACTATAACCAAGTGCCATAGGCTGAGTGGCTTAAACAGCAGAAATCTATTTTCTCACAATTCTGGAGGCTACAAGTCCAGGATCAAGGTGTTAGCGGGTTTGATTTCTTCTGAGGCCTCTCACTGGCTTGTAGATAGCCTTCTTCTCCATGTATCTTCACACGACCTTCCCTGTGGTGTCCTTATCTCATGGTGAATTAGGGCCCACTCTGATGATCTCATTTTACCACTTTAACAAGCCTGTCTCCACATGCAGTGGCATTCTGAGGTGCTGAGGGTGGACTTTAACTTGTGAATTTTGTAGGAACCTAGTTCAGCCCAAAACACTTATATTAATGAAGCCAGCCTTTTTTTTTCTTTTGCAACAGTTTAGTTCTCCCCTTAGAGCTTGAAGAATTGTGGTTGGTACTTTCTGGGATGAGGTAATACCATCATTGTCACTGTTCATTCATTCAACCCATAGTGAGCGTCTTCTGCCTAGTGTGTGTCTGCGCTTGCTGGGCATTCGGGATACGTCATCAGCAAACAAAACAGATTGGGATCCTTATCCCGCTCCAGGCAATGGGTACACTATGTTAAAAGGTGCTTATTGCTACGAAAGTGAGATAAGGAGATGTTTATGGAGCATCTAGAAACCGCAGAATTCAGAGTGAGGAATTTTACAATAATTTTTTGTGCATTTAGTGTCCACAAGGCTTTTGTGTTGCACTTTTCGCTCAGCAATTTTGGCGTCATATTATTATTACACACTACATTATATATCATACGCCATATATGTATATACACTACACATATTATACACCATATTATAGAGAGAAAGGCACTGTCACTCTGAAGGCCCACTTTCCAGTCCACCCTCTCCACAATACAGAAGTTGTAACTCAGCCTGCTTCTGTAGGGGACTCATGGAGCACACACCAAGCTTTCTGACCCCCAGACCATCCTTGCCCACAAGACCACAACTAAGGGGGAGATCAAGAGAAACAAATGCTACCCAGTACAGTGTTGTCGCAGAGGCAGGCCCAGGGAGAGAACGATGGGAGAGATTCATTCCTTTCTTAGTTGTTAATGTGAATCCTCCTCAAATTTAAGAACCTCCTTAAACACTGAAGCCAACACTATTAGCCCATTTTATAAGAAAATCTTATCAGGCTTAGATTCGGGAACACATGATTGATCCAGAGTAATCTGGGTTCACATAAAAATTGAAGCACTTTTTTAAATCTATTTTTGAAAAAGAAATGGTAATCGATGAATAAATTATAACAGAGATCCCCCCCCCCAAGAACTTTAATAAATTATCAGGGTTAGGGAGGGGGGGGGAATAGCAATAACCCCAATTAATACTAGATATAGAATTGAATATGCTTATACTCAACATTGACATCAAAGGATAGGTACGTTATACTCAGAAGATGTGAAGAATCAAGAAAAGCTCCACCTTACAGTCATCACACAGACAGGTATCGCTTGGTGCCCTCAAACTTGAGGTAGAGGAGGAACCTGCTTGAAATCAATCAGTACAAGGCTTGGAGCAGTATTGCCCAGCACCCACACCCGCTGTCTGGGGCCAGCCCCAGGTTTCACTTATGCAGGCAGGTGTGGGCACATCCCACCAGGCAGAGGGTGACTGCCCCTGCCTCTGTGATCATGTGGGGGAGGGCCAGCATGGTCCAGTGAGTGGAAGTAACAGGGAAATAATGTTTGGCTTCCAACATTGCTCAGAGACGGAGCGGCCCCTTAGGAAAGACGTTTCGGTGCCTTAAGTCCTTTAAACGTGCTTCCTTGGCCACTGATGGGACAGCTGTAGAGGGATAACAAGCTAGTTTTGAAATGCAATGATTCCAGGACACGTGAACGATAATATTGCAAGGAAAAATTTTCAGGGCATGGGGCCTATTACATTTCCTAAAGAAAGAGGCCCAGTAGACTCTTATCTATATTAAACGATCAGACCGGGAGCGACCCTGAGTGACCTTGTAAGGTTTCTGGGACTCCACTTTCTCTTTAGGAAAATAAAGATAATAATACTGGGATCTCCATACCTGCCTCTCAACAGTGAGGCAAGAATTATATGAAATAGTAATTTTCAAAGAGTGTTCACATCTATAAAGGATTCAATTTACAGAGAAAGGAACATTGATGGATCCCTGCTAAGAGCCAGGCCCCACACATACCGAATCTTATTTCTTTTTCCCCACCTCCCTCTTGGTACGTGTGCAGAACTCCACTGTGTAGATGAGGAAAGTGAGGATTGGTGAGTGAGATGATGACTCACAAGGCTGACAGCAAAGGAAACTAGGATTCAAAGCCACAAAACCTACAATACCTGATCCTGAGGTCTACCTAGTCTGTTCCTATGAAGAATTTAATTGTATCCCTTTGTTCTGGCTTCAGAACCTGGGAAAGGAGGGGCGATTCAATGTATTTTAATCTTTTTAAATATATTTTTATTCATTTCAGAGAAGAAGGAAGAAGGAGAGAGACAGAAACGTCAATGATGAGAGAGAACCATCGATCAGCTGCCTCCTGCACGCCTTGACCGGGAATCGAACCATGACCTCCTGGTTCATAGGGTGATGCTCAATCACTGAGCCACACCAGCTGGGCAATATATTTTAATCTTATTCACAAGATACCTTATAATTTTTCATAAACCAGTTTTCTTTTTTAAAGAAAAAGTATGGGTTCTTTTTAATACACATAAAAAGTTGTACTATCTTGAAGTTGAAATTTTCAAATGAGATCCTGATTTTCTTCCATCATTAAGAAGGTATTGAAATTAGTCTTTCAGACGCATTGTTACATGGTATTACACAGAATTTCCTAATGTATTTTCCTACTTAAGCCTTTTAAGAAATCTGTACAATATTTATCACCACTCCCATTTCACAGATGGAAAGCCTGGGTTCAACAATAGGTCGCACAGCTGGCTCACAGTCAACCGGAGCCCCATGTCTGACCTCTGCACCCCATGCTCCTCCATCCTTCCCACAGTTCCTTACGAAAGCCTGCTATGGGCCTAGACGTGCCATGCTCAGATGGGGTGCTGTGTGTAAGGGTAGACGGCAGGTGTAAGGTTCTCCAAGGACAGATGGGAACTTAAGGTCACCTGACCCACCCCTGTCATTTGAAGAAACTAAGGCTCAGAGGTTAAATAACTTGCATGATCTGTGAGGCAAGAAGTGCAAGGGGGGAGTCAGGCCTTCGGCCTAGGCAGTCGGACTCCCAGACCGGCACCCCAACTGTCTCTCTGGTTTCAGTGCTGCAGTTTGTGCCTACAAAGTGTTAGTTTCTATCCCCACCGAGCCCGCCCCCTCCTCAGCCCTACAACACCACACTGCCGCCAGTGCTCCTTTTAAATCCAGCTTAGTCGTATCCCTGGTTTGTTTGAGATTCCTCACCGTGCCCCCATTAGCCTTCCCATTAAATCCCAGCATCAAAGATGTATTTCTTTTATAAATAGAAAAATATAACAAATGCAGGTGTTTTTTTTAAAACTCCAAACTGCACCACGTAAGATCTGGCCTGTGTCTGAGTCCCACTGTCCACGCACTACAGACACATCAAACCACCCCCAAACCAGCACGCGGCTTCCCCTGCAGGAACTGCCCTGCCTGCCCTTCCCTGCAGGACTGCGCGCCAGCTCCACTGGTGGCAAACCTTCCCCGGCCCAATTTAGCTTCGCCTCTTGAGGTCCTGCAGAAATCTGTCAGGATCTGTCACAACACTGACCACACTGCAGGGCAACGGTGGAGATTTCTTGTCATTTTTCTGTAAGTCAGTGAGTTTCTTACAAATAGGTCTTTCAGCTTGCTACCCCCAGTGCCTAGCACAGTGCCTGGCACACAACAGACACTCAGTTAATGTTCCTGAGCTGAATGAGCAGATGAAGAGCAAATGATTTGGCCAGAATAACAGAGCTGGCATTTGAGTTTCCTGACCAAGAATCAAACCGGCGACCTTTTGGTGCATGGGACAACACTCAACCAACTGAGCCACACCGGCCAGGGCAAGGCTATTTCTTTTTCTAACAGGTACTCACCAAAATATTATTCCCAAATCCCTGACTCTCTTCCTCCATCTTCCCATCTGTGAAATGAGGAGAATATATCTTGCCCCAGAAGGCTTGTAGCTGCATATTGTTAAGATTCAAGGTTCCTGTTAGATTAAAAGGATTTATAAACAGGGATTTTTTTAAAATTTAGCTTCTTTCTACTCTTCGACCTTAGCACTCTAGTATGACAGAGGCAGGTTTTTCCTGCAATAATTTTTTTAAACCTTTCCATGTAGCCAGGGGTGAATTTTTTACTCATTAGGCCAACTCTGCTTTGTCTCCACAAGCAGACACGCAAAAGAAAGAAAATGACTTAACTGCTCCGGCTTTTTGATGTTTGACTAATTCATCAGCTACAAACACTAAGTTACCAAGTGAGAAACACGACGGGTAAAAAGCCCTCCCATGAGGAGAGAATGTCAAACAAATTAGCAGAAAATGAATTGTCTCTTCCCAAAGCAGCGTGGGTATTTGATAATAAACTGAAAAACCGATTGTCCCTAAAGGGGCTTCCAGGAGAGACTTCCAGGGCCCTCCACACCAGATTCCTTCCCTGCAGCTGAAGTGGAACTGTGGACTAATCAGAGATCCAGGGGGCGAAGGCCTAGGGCTGGTTCATCAGACACACGGGGCTTCCCGGGGGCACCGGCTCTACCTGCCACATGTATCTCTCCGGCCACTAGAGAGCCGCCCTCCCAACACTTCAGAGGAGATTCATGATTCTCAACCCTGGCTGCGTATTAGAATCAGCCAAGAAGCCTTAAAAATGCCGGAGCTCCAGGAAGTCCGATTTTAATGTCTGAGCTTAGGTCCTGGGAATCGTCCGTTTTAAAGCCCCGTGAAGAATTCTAATATGCAGGCGGATTGAGAGCCACAGTCATGGAGAGCTGGACAGTAGGATTGCAAGAAGCTTGCGAGACTCAGAGAAAGAAGGAAGAGGGAATTAAATGTGATAACAAACCCAATCCGTGATAATCCTGGACACTCCACGAAAGGCCAGTCTCACCCTTTTGGTCCCTGCCTGACTTTAAACCCTCAGTGCCTCCCATTTGTTCCCAAGATAAAAACCAAAGTCCTTACGCTACCATCAAGGCCTGGGAGGTCTGGCTCCTCCCCACCCTTCCCACTTCTCTCAGTCTCTGCTCTCCTCACACGGGCCCTCCCCCAAGTCCTTGGAGTCACCCCGCTTCCTTCCACCAGCTGGCCTTAGTCTATGACATTCTT